ATTTGCCTAAAAAATATTTTGCAGGGAAAATGATTTCAAGTGTGTTTGATTGGTATAATTTTCCACCCGAAAAGTTTTTAAATTTTCTATTCGTTTGACTTTGTTTTACATGGAAATTGTCTATTAAAGTGATTTTTTTTTTTTTAAATAATTGGTTATGGCATTTGCTTCCATTCCCAAAAAAAAAAAAAAAAAAAATTTTGAGCTGCCGGCTGAAAAATATTTTCCATGAAAAATTTAGGCTGTCAAATAACGTAAAAGATGGAAAACGGAAAAAATTTTCCTAGTTCCTTTAAAAATTTCGCCAATCAAACGGGGCCTAATTTCATCCAACAGCCAACTTAGCAGAATATATGAGTGGAAGAACAAAACCTTAAATTCTGGGCACTCTTCAAAATAAATACTCGTGAGTCGAAAGATAATCAAGGAAATGAACAGGATTAGAAGAAACTTCTTGATCTCCAATCACAGGTCGCCTTTAGGAACTTGATGCACTCCTGAAAGTGTCAAGCAATTGGGATCTATTAGTGACGTTATTTAAAATTTCACCAAGCCTATGCTTGGTATAGCCAAAAATCAAAAATTAAAAATAAAATTAAAATCAACGATTAATTTTAATCATATATTTTATGATATACATACCTTGTATTAACTTTTCAACACATTTCGTTAACCTTTTATCAAAATTTATGTAAATTGAACAGGAGCTCATTGTTGCGAGCACAATTTTGGTTAGAGTAGGTGCAAAATTGATTACCCCTGGTTGACTCGTGGAAATCTTCTTTATGTGTACATAAATGAGTGCTCAATAACTTCTTGAGATCAATGAGTTGTTTAGAGGAAGCAAGGGCAGCAAGTTGAACACCAAAATACGAAGAAATCATATTCAACGTTGGGAGATAAAACTATTCATCTAGACTCTGATAGTGTCAACAATGCATATGTCAATTAAATTATATTAAATGATTGTACATCTTAGATGTAAGGATATTGGTCCATTTAAAAATGTATATAAATTAAAATTAAAATATATTTATCCAGAGAACGATCTAAGACCTGACTAAAAGTCGAGTTAATATGTAGAAAGAAATTTACATTAAAAAAAAAATTAACGGACCGGGGACTGGGCCGATCTTCTTGAGATCAGTGAGTTGTTTA